AGGTGGCAAAACTTGGAAAACTCCCGGTTCTGTAAGTCGAGTGCAAGTGATGTTCAGTTGTGGTCGACATTCAAAGCGATAGACAATATTCGGGTCATCATTAGTGACCACTTGTTTCACATGAGTTAAGAATTTATCCAAAATGTCTCGATTGTAATAGACTTCGAGAAGGCTGTCCACTTCGAGCCGCTCCAAGCGGTTGACCACAAAATTATCGTCTCTATAACCGCAATATATGGTGGGAATGCCTGTGAGGTAGGAGTGGGCCCACCATTTGAGACGCTTATTAGGATTAGAGTGAGTAGTGGTTCTCAGCTCAACCACATTGTCCAGAGATCCCGGATCTGCTCTAACCGTTGGACAAATGGAGTCCAATTTGGGTGAGAAGATCATCTAATGGGTCACACCTTTGGCTACTTTACTGAGAAGTCTGGTCCGGACGACACCGAAGTAGGCGTTAAAGTCTCGACCGATGCGCAGATAATCGCCGTTTGACGGCATGAATGGGTCGTCGCTTGTCATGTACTCCTCAAACCGATAGCCACTGAAACCCAATTGGTTTTGTCGGTGATTGTCGTAACCGGAAGTGTTTGGGTCGTAGACTGGCGTCAAATATATGGTTCCCTTGAATTCGATGCCACAGATGATCACCCGCTCGGACCTCTCGAAAGGGAAAGTCATTACAAAGGACAGCGGGAATACCCTGTGTTGCTTCAGACACGGCCTCTAGTTCACAGACGGTAGCGTACTCTGTTAGGTTACGTTCTCAGAGAGCTAGAATTCGGAGCTCATGACAGGGTAGTGTATGACCAGGCGTAGCATGCCGTGCATCAGATCCAGAAGAATGGTGTCCGGGATGTGCAGATACTTGAGGTCCGAATCGTTGGCCACAATATGTCTCTCATCGCCGATCAGTTTCACAGAGTATTCACCGATTTTTGTGTGTTTTTCGAGCCATACCTTATCGGCCCTGTCTTTGGTGATCGACAAAGCCTTTGGGTCTTCATTATTGGTCTCAAATATCTGTGACCAGAGTTGGACACCAATGGGTGGCTCATCAGTCAGACTCACATGTCGTATGTCACTGACCAATGAATCCATGGCATCTGAGGTTACATCGGTTTGACACCAAATTACCGAAAATAAACGGATTACAGTTACCACTGAATAAATGAATGAAAACTTTTTACAACTTTATAATCACTGCAATGAAAAAAACTTTTACTCTCACTTTACTGCATGTAATCAGTGAACTCTTATACCTATTATTTATAGGAAATTATTTCAAAGTCTCTTTAATTAAAACCAAAACAAGGATTCATTAACTCATTAAATGCAAACTAATTCACAGAATATTCCGAGAGTTAACACACAAAATTGAATGCATTTTAATGCAAGTGTAATACAAAATTATCAGGGTTTATCTGAAAACTATTTAAATTTTATAATATTTATTTCTAATACAAATATCATTTTAATTAAAGTTTAATTTTTTGTGCAAAGAATTGAATTAAAAAATATAAATCATATATGAATTAAATTTAAAGCAATTCAAAACATTCACTTATGGCTCAGTATTTCATGAATTGTTTCACATTTAAACCAATTATTCAAACCAAATACCAATCAATACATACCTTACTATACGTCTAACAACTACTGCAAGGCGTCTGGACTCCAGATGACCGTCGACTACAAGTTTGGCGGACTTTATGGCAGCTATAGGTCTACTGGAGTCACCCCTTCCTTGGATTTACATACGATTGAGGGGAAAGAGCGGACGGTTCATGTCGTGTCCGATATCCCCATTCAGTGCTCTATCGGTGTGTATGTCGAGTGACCTGTCTTTGCGTTTGGCGGACGGGTTGGTCACCAACTCATAGACATTGTCTCACCTCTCGAGCGCATGTGAGGTAAGGAACCGATAGATTTCGGGAGTTCGGGAGCACCGGTGGTCATGAGGGGCATCGGGAATGAGGGCCAAAATCTATGGACTATGAGTACAGTAACGGTAGGAATACAGTCGATATGTTTAAGAGTCGAGGCATGAGTTTGTATTAAATTTTATTGTTTTTTAAACTTTACTCAATAGTAAACTGATTTAGTTTTAACCATTTGATAGCATTCAATACAACATTGCTTAATTTTGCATTAATTTTTATACCATTCAATAATACAGAATTTATGATACGATTTATTTTATAGTACTTTAACCTAAATATAATTATAGAAATAAACAACTTTTAAGACAAACTATTTTTTTAAAGAAACAAAATATGTTGAGATAAACTTGTTTTGAGTCTGGAATGAATTCAATAAAAAAGTAACTTTAGATAAATAAGAGTAAAGTTTTCCTTCAGATAAACAAAATATAAAATTATTGCGTTTGCTTTCACTTCTGTGACTAAAACATAAAATTATTGAAAAATTTTATGTCAAAAACATAATTATATGAATTGTTCACAAGTTTTGTATGAGATTGCATTCAACTGATATTATTCAGAGGAGACACATGTCTTCGCCAGTGAATGCCATATGAAGTGACAATTTGTCCTTCATTTCTATGAATATTTGTGATTGAGATGTGCGACCACTTTAGGGATTCATAATATGAATTTCANACTCTAATCCTAATAAGCGTCTCAAATGGTGGGCCCACTCCTACCTCACAGGCATTCCCACCATATATTGCGGTTATAGAGACGATAATTTTGTGGTCAACCGCTTGGAGCGGATCGAAGTGGACAGCCTTCTCGAAGTCTATTACAATCGAGACATTTGTCTCAACTTTTTGGATAAATTCTGAACTCATGTGAAACAAGTGGTCACTAATGATGACCCGAATATTGTCTATCGCTTTGAATGTCGACCACAACTGAACATCACTTGCACTCGACTTACAGAACCGGGAGTTTTCCAAGTTTTGCCACCTTGGTACATTGACAACATGTCATCGCATTCATTTAAACAACAATTTAATTATTAAAATCACTTATAATTTAAATTTAATAAAAATCATTGGAAATCATAAAATAATACATACGATACAACTAATGCAACGTTTATCATTTAATAAAAATTTTATAATTCATTTGAAAATATGATTTTGTATTATAGTATCTATAATTTACTACTTACATAAATTATAATAATTAAATAAAACATGATTTAAAATTGACTTAAAAACATTTCATTTATGATTAATAATTAAGTATTTACAAAAAATAAATTTTAAATTATAATACTTTTAGATAGTTTTGAAGTAAAGAGCACTCAAACGGATATATTATCAGAAATTCTGTCAGAATTGTTAGCAAATAGAGAGAAATTGTCATTTGTTTGGTGTTTACGTCTTATGAATACTGACTGATAATTATATTTAACTATAAAAACCACTAAAATCACGAATAATATAGTAATTAGAATAATGTTAGCATTTGTTTTAAACGCCAATTCATTCAACTGTTCATAAATAGAGAGATTGTCAGCACTTTCCTCGTCCCCTAACATCATATTAATTTCATCAGCAATTGATATGCCGTTAGATGTTTGGTTGATGTCCTGATTGTCTGTATTGTGGTGCAGATATTTCTGGCACAGGACCAGATAGGTTGTGGTACAGCCCACGTCAAACCACTTGCCCATAGCCGGTGCCGCAGAACTCATTACAGTGCAGTAGTTCTTTGAAAACCAGTTGTTTGGCTCATTAGGACCTAAAATATACAAACTTCTAGGCATTTACAGTAATCATAAAAGTTTTATTTTATTAACATTTTTAATTTTTCTGTGTTTCAAATCAAGGAATATAACTGAATATAATTGTATTCCTAATTTATTAAGTATAGTACAGTATATTCTGTATAAAGTACGAGTATTATTAGTCTATTATGTAGAATCGTTAAGTATTATATAATAAGTTACTCGAACTGTTAGAGTAGTGTGCTAATTAAAGCATATTTAAGCTAATATTATCATATCATCAAGCTAATTAAATTATACAAATTTGTGAATGGTTATAATACTACTGCTATATTTATAAAGGTGTGAAACGAGGGATAATATGATTACTACTTCACTGACCCCAATTGGTGTAATTAAGAGGACTTCTGTCAAACCAGACAAACGACTCATTGGAGACACGGATCAAACCGATCCAAACGGAATACTTGGCGTGTTTTGCCTCGAAAACCATTTTGTAGATGAAATCAAACTCTTGGACCGAATGAATGGTGATCAGAGTGGCGCCATAGAAGTGCTCGCAGACAGTCATGGCGTCGTGGAAATTAGCACCAGCCATGTCGTTGTGGTACTTAAAACATTTATCACCAAATTCATCCCATCCCTCATCACACTGATCGCCACTTTCGCATAAGACTGACCACCGTTTCACTCAATCCAATCACAAACACATTAATACAGCATTTCTTTATGTATTGTCATTAAACAGTACTTACAGACCATTATGACTAACATTGTGTTAATTATTGCTACAAATTTGAACTCAGCTTTGTAAAATAAATTCATTTTATTCTTATATAATACTCCAAATGATTTTGTTTAAATAAATTAAATTTTATGCCACTTTTATCAGTAATAAGTTTATATGTCTTATGTCTATGAATATATAAATGAATACATATAAATGGAGAGTTTATATTTGTATGATTACGTAAAGGAAATTCAAAAGGATTTAATTTTAATGACCAGAAATCATATTCTTATCGATAAGACTACTAATTGGTTTACAGGATGTATATACATACAGAACTGTATTAGTCTGATACACATGTTTGCGTCAAAATGTATTATACAATCAATTCCTTTATAATAAATCTAATTCTAATATTACTGTATAGTTACTAATTATCTCACATACCCGTCCATTATAATAATTATAATTAAGGAAAATACCTTTTACCAATATTGTATTTAGTTTTACGAGACATTAGAATTTTATTGAAAAATTATAATTTTTGAAAATTAAATTTACAAACCATTAAAACAATTAACAAATAACTACTTTAAAATACTTTATTATATATGATTCAGAAGTCGTAGTCGTCGTCATCACTGACCAAAATGCCGATCCGTTGACCGATAAAACGGACAGATTTAGTGACTTTCTCTTTGACTAAATTCAGAGACATTGCGAGTAATGCCATCCCAAACAGCAAATAGAGGGCACATATAGCGAGAGTCATCTGTCCGTCTGCCGGAGTGGACAGTACTGTCCGCCCGGGCACCAGATCTCCGAACCCAATGGTCGATAGCGTGACAAAACAGAAATAGGAGGCGTCTAAGAAAGTCCAGTCCTCCGAGTTGGAAAAGAACCATGCTCCTCCACAGATATAACTGATCACTAGTGTCAGGCACACAGTGATCGGGATACTTTTTCGCGTCGCTTCCACCTCATCGTCCGAGTCTTCGCTCTCATCGCCACTCGAGTCACCGCTCGTTTCGGTCAGTCCTCGCATTGTCTGCTGGTATGCCATCATTGACTGGTCCGGTAGTGCGCACTGATTGGTGCCGTCGTTGAAAAATCGCACGGAATTCATGTGTTTGGGCGCCGACTGCACGAGACTTGAGTTGATTAGTGTCTGAAAACTCGGTGGAGTGGCTGTTGGCGATGGGGTGGGCGGCGGACCTGTTGTGACATTGGGTTTAAAATGAAATACTCATGCCTTCCGCGCATGGATTACCTGGAAATCTTGAGGTCGACTCCAGTATCTCATCATTGAGTGCGTGCTTATTGCATATGATCGGCGTTCCGTCGTTATATCGATTTGAGCGCCAGTTGTGGTGATTATAAGAGGAATACATATGAGAGCGGCGGTGATGGGCGGCCATCGGCTCCATTTCCATCTGTTGGGAGGCCTGGAGTCGACGCCTTCGGAATGATCGGCGCTTTTGTGCGGGTCTTCGGTGTCTTTTGGGCGCAACGCAGAGATAACACAAACACTTCCAGTATATGAATTTGAATGAGTGGGCCATCGCGTGGCCGATGCTCGACAGGCAGAACAACAT